GAGAGAGAGAGAGAGAGAGAGAGATTATATATCATACCCACAGGAATATACATACACACTGTATATACAAAACTGAAAGGACTGTGACGGGTTGTAGAGCGAGAAAGAACGCAATTGGCATGGAGTCCTCGGGGAAGTGGTTAGAGAAGGCGCTGCTTGAATTATGCAAGAAGGTGGAAACGGGCCTAGAATTGGATGGGGAAATCATATCGGGCCTTGTTTCTTACTGCGAAATGGCCTCGCCTCTTGATGCCAAAGAGTACCTTGATGTAATCATACTATTACTCTTTCTGTCTTTCTAGTTTTATATTTGTGGATTTTCCGATTTCCGGGTTTTCTTGCTTATTTATGCATTTCATTGATTTCGAAGGTATTTTTGTGGGTTTCTTGATGTATATGGAGATATGATTGTTTTAGCTTGTATTGCAATTTTTGGGCTTTTAATTGGTGCATCCGGGGTAATTTTAGGGGCCATGGAAGTGCTAATTAGAATTTGATGATACTTGAGAAACACAATAATTTTGCATTGGACTATATGAAATTGCTTTTTTGTTGGTGGGTATGTCTGATGGGCATGGACTGATTATAACAGTCGTAATTCTAAATTTTATCAATATACTTGGAGCTTGTGTGGTTTTGCAATCTTCTTAAATTTTCGATTATTTTTAAAAGTAGAAGGCTACTTTATGTTGGAATTTTTGTTTTTCGGTCATTTTAATTTATACTATAAAGGGTATATTGTTAATTTAGATACATAAACACTGATGCTGTATGCAGATTCATAAGGCGCATATTGATGATAAAGAAATTACTGAATGTCAAAGGGCCCTCAACTCAAGTATAAATTAAATTCACCAAAATATGCACATAAAGCAAAATGTGTACATTTTTTGCAAGACATGAATTGCACAATGAAGTGTTCTGGCAAGTGCTTAAAGGAGTTTCTGGGTGATTAGAACAGTTGAAACCATAAGTGTTGTATTGATATAACGAGAGGAAAGGTAGATAACCAGTTTGGAAGGACAAAACCAAGCAAAATGAAATTTGTCATAAATGAATTCCTTCCAGACTGAACGAACTGTATCCAAAATTGTTAGGAGGAACTTTAGACTATGAGATTTAGTGTTTTAAATGCCTCTTGAAAATGGAAAGTTAGGTGATCTGTTGATTTATACTGTACGACGAGCAGATAAGTAGAAAACTGATTTTGTTTACAGTTATTTACAGGCAACTTTTCAGTTCACGTGTCTACTGATTTACTACAATTTCTTTCGGAAAGTGTCCAGGGCAGTTTCAATAGTAAACATTGGTGTTGCTTTGAAAATATACCTTTGGAATTCTCACCATTCTCCAGTCCCTCTCATGCACAAAAGAACTACAACTATAAATTTGCAGACATAAAAACACTTTTTTTCATTCAGTAAGGCAAATTTTGATGTGTCTAGTGAACATTATTTTTCATATTTTTTTTCTACTTAAGTGTGTTGAAAATTCATTAAATATAAAAATAATGTTCCAGTGCATCCTTCTGCTTAACATTACCTTCTTCATTGTTTGGTATTTCTTTCCATGTTCACATTCCGATCCCAATACTCTTTAAGTCTCTTAACCATCAAAATGTTTTGCATGCTTTTAGTTTATATCACTTCTTATCTTGTTGGCAAAATTGGAAACTGTCCTCTATGTTCATAATCTTTGTTGCTTGGACCCTAGACCCGTGTTGAACACACACGACAAGGATAAGGGTATAAGATGCTTCTCAGAACCTTTAAATCAGAACAGGATCCTTTATATCGTTTTTATTTTTTATTTTTTTATTTTAGTGTCGTATTTATTATGATTTCTGATTTGTATATCTCATTTCTAGGCTAGAAATAGAAATAATATAGCTATTTGAAATTTAGCCCTTGTTTGAGCCCCATTCTTTTGATAATAATGAATTTTTGAATAGTGTATTGATTAAAATGTGTGGTTAAAAAATAAGGAAAAGTTTTCAATTTGCGTGTAATATTATTTTATTGAAGAATGTGTAACTGAAATGATATCAAAACATTGTTTAAGAATGCATTTTTTTCAAAGAATGAGAATCAAACAAGGACTTAATTGGTTTTAGATTTACGGTTAAATGTATAATCTATTTATCCCTAAAAAATGTATCTAAAATTATTACTCCCTCTTTTAAAGATAGACTTTCTATCATTTTTTGTTTATTCCAAATTTTAGACCTCTTTCCTTGTGGAGAATATAGTTGATTCCTTGATTTTTTAATATGCCTTTATTTAATGTGCATTGTTCTATTTTCTTAATCTGTGTGAAAATGGAAACAAGCATATCTTTACGGGACGGAGGAGTGGTATATAGATTTCTAAAATAATTTTAAGTTTATAAGACATGTCCATGTACTTGTGTTTGGATCCTTTTGGCCATATCCCAATATTCTAGATTTTAGTTAAAGAAAAAAAGACCTGACTCCTTGATATATAATTATATCAGACACTTGACCCGAGCTTAATCAAAAGAGTATATAATCATATACACTAGTGGAAAATGCTAGGGGTACATAATTTTTGGTACATAGGGATATCCATCCTCTCACGTGGGTGGGGCCCTCTCAAATAAATTATTCGAGTGGGCTCCATGTCATGTGAGAGGATGGATACCCTTATGTATAAAAATTATGTACAAGTATCTTTATCCTACACTAATTTGTTAAATCACATATGCACTGTACGAATAAATAGGAATCTCATTATGGAAAATTATGCATTTTGTCTTCACATATCATTACATATTTCTTATGCAAGCACACGCTGAAAATTTCTACTTGTTTCCATTTCTACAGGTGTGTGTTTTCTTACCCTATCTTGGGAAATTCTTACATAGTTAATTTTTAAAATTTTTATCTGCAGAATATTATTGGCCAAGAAGCTGGCGAAAGTGTAATTGGGGAGTACCTAAAACAGAGAGGCCATGTGACTATTGGAAACAGCAGTCGAGCTACTCCTACTTCCAATTTACATGCATATGTTAAACCACGTACAGATGAAGGCCCTGTCATAGCAGCTAAGAAATCACAGAGAGCACCAAAAGAGACTATGTCATCGACAGGTCATGAAAATTTAATAAAAAACGTGACTTCAGAAACACAAAATATGCAGAAAGGAAATCAAGCTAATTCCAGAAAGAAAAAGGCCGGAAAAGTTGTTTCTCTCGCAGATGCTGCAAAAGGTTCAATTGTATTTCAGCAGGGGAAGCCATGTTCATGCCAAGCCCGTCGGCACCGGTTGGTAAGCAATTGTTTATCTTGTGGGAAGATAGTTTGTGAACAAGAAGGTGAGGGACCTTGTAATTTTTGTGGTGCTCTTGTGCTGAGGGAAGGAAGCGCATATGGTGGTCTGGATGAAGGTGCCGTGCCTGTATCAGATGCTGAGGCAGCTGCTGAAGCTTATGCAAAGAGGCTTGTTGACTATGATCGTAATTCTGCAGCTCGTACAACAGTTATAGACGACCAAAGTGACTACTATGCAATTGAGGGAAATAGTTGGCTTTCGGCCGAGGTCTGTATTCTGTTTACCTGTTCACAGAAAAGAAAACAGGTCCTTGTGATACTTATTTATTGGTGGATCCGAGTTTTGACATACTCTACCTTCTGTCCGTTCACAGGAGAAAGAACTTCTGCAGAAGAAAAGGGAGGAGCTAGAAGAGGCTGAAAGGGCGAAGCGAAGTAAAGTAGTTATGACATTTGATTTACTCGGCCGCAAGGTTAAAATTTTGTTATCATAATCCCTCTTGTCATCTTTGGTTGATCATTGCTGCAATGATTCTTTTTTCAGATGAACAACATTCAGGTATTATACATTTCTCGATTTTAGTTTGGCTATCTTGACATTTAAAACATTGCAGGTGCTTTTGAATGAAGATGAAGCTTCTGAAGAAATGCAGAACAGTATTTTACTCCGGCCACCAGAGGAAAGAGAAGCAATTCGCATAAAACCGAACCCAAATCTCAGAATTCAACCAATTTTGATAGACCCAAGTCCTAGGAATACTTCAAAGGATAAGAATTTAAACATAGGCCTAAGCAATGGTCTGTGCTTGGAGATTAGTGGGAGAGTACAACACACTACCAATGAACTAGAAATTTTGTGATTGCTGACGGTTTCTTGCATGAGCATTCTGTCGGTGAAANAAACTTGCAGTAATGAACACATCTTCTTATTCACGTCTCTATGTTGTTAACTCTTCAACGCCGTAAACTTCTACTCTTGCGTATGGCTTGAAAGTGTGTGTCGTGTCTTTGCCTTTCTAGCTGGAGTAATATTTTTCCATTGAGCTTGTTCAGCAAACTCATAAGTTGGTTTTTTCACCAATTTTGTGGTTGAATGGCTTTGCGTTTTCTTTGTTTATCTTGGTGTTCAGAAGGAAGTCTCATCATCCTAATCTACAGACTCGTGACACAAACATATCAAAGAGTAGAAAAATATAGCTAAAACTCAAACATTGATATCTAGTTGCTTTATTTGTTTATTATTTTTTTTTTGCACTTTTAGACTGCCAACTTTGAGACGCAGCAGGTAATCTTTACAAGAGACGTCCAGGTTATCAGATAATTATCGATAGTCGATACCATCTCCAACTATTGCCCTTTAGTCTTTGACCCACAAGCTCCTTTCCAAGGAGGATCTCCATATTTGGAGTTTTACTGTATCGTCCAATATTATATTTCAAACATATCCAGAGAGTCGAAGCTTATGTTAATGTTGGATTCATCATGATGGTTGGACGTCACTCTATTGCAAATAAACGGAACTTCCTGCAACTTTCTGATCTTTCTCAACTACCATGAGGCTTCTGCAGCAAATAACATCATCCCATTTTCCAGCTTCAGCATAGACATTAGAGAGAATTACATGATCTTCAGACCCTTGGGATTTGTTTTCTGTTTTGCAACCAACCAAGTTCAAGCCTAAACCGATGTTGCCATGAATTCTGCAACCATTCATCAACATTCTCCAAACAGGTGTGTTCGATTCTAAAGGCATTTCTCCAAGATATTGACTAGCCTCCTCAATTCTTCCAGCTCTGGCAAGCATGTCAACCACGCATCCAAGATGCTCAATCCTGGGTTCAATATTGAAAACATTACGCATAATATCAAACAAATGTTTACCTTCATCAATCAAACCAGCATGGTCACATGCTGACAGAACACCAATGAAGGTAACAGGATTAGGATCAATTTTCTCAGCACACATTTGCTCAAAAGCAGCAAGAGATTTCTTTCCTTCACCATTTATGGCATGTCCAACTATGATTGATGTCCATGAGACGACATCTCTCTTTAGCATTGTATCAAAAACAGCTCTAGCCCTATCCATGCTCCCACATTTTGCATACATATCAATAAGCGCATTTCCCAAAATTATACTTTCTTTAACTTGATCGTTACTCCCTAGATAAGAATGTATACGAACACCCTCATCTAGATCTCCAGAATCACGACAAGCCATAATTAATCCCACAAACGTCACTTGTTCTGGTTCTACGTTTCTAGACTTGATCCTGTGAAAAAGCTTTAAAGCCTCAAAGGGAAGTCCACCTTCCACATATGAATGTATCATCGCATTCCAAGAAGCAATATTTTGCTTTGGTAGCTCCTCGAAAAGTTTCCTTGCTGACTCGACTTCTCTGCATTCTGTATACATGTTGATAAGTGCTGTCCCTACCGAAACATCGTACTCCATCCCCGTAGCTATTACATGACTATGGATCAACCTCCCCAATTCGAGATATCGAGAAGCAGCACAAGCTGATACCAAGCTACTAAAGGAAGCTCCATCAGCTTCTATTTTCTTACTCCGCATTTCTTTAAACAATGTTAAAGCTTCCATACAATCTCCATTATTAGCATACATCGAAAGCATAGTATTCCATGAAATCAAATCCTTGTGAGGCATGTTATTAAACACTCTCAAAGCATCATAAATGCATCCTAACTTAGAATACAAATCAATAAGAACATTGCATATCTCAACATTCAAATCCAATCCAACTTTGCAGCAACAGCAGTATAGTGCATTTCCAATACTGAGCTCCCCAAAATCAACACATCCAGATATCAAAATAACATAACTAACATAATTAGGCTCTACATTCGTACCAAAACAACCCCTCAACATTTTAATAAACAAACTCAAACCCACTTCAAGATTTCCTCTTTTCACATGCCCAGTAATCATACTATTAACTGTAACAACATTTCTCTCAGACAATCTATCAAACAGTACATCGGCATAATTCATTAAATTAACGTAACCCATGTAAAAGCTCAAAAGACTGTTCAATATATTCACATTACAATCCAGGCCAAGCTTCATAATATAACAGTGCATTGACTTACCCTCACGAAAAGCCTGAGCTTTGTTACAAGCTTTAATCAAAGAAGCATATATAAAAGGATCATTGTGAAATTGAAAATGGGATATCTCATTGGAATTTTTCGCACTGGTGAGTAACACTTTTTGGAATAAAGATAGTGCCTTTAATGGGTTAGTATTTGAGGTGTGTCTGATCATGAGATTCCATTTTAGAGAGCGGGTTTTGATTTCTTGGATTTGGTGGAAAAGGGTGGTTGCATGGGGGAGGGTTGAGGGGTTAGAGAGGTAGAGTTGGAGGAGGGAGAGGAGAGTTGAGTCACGGTGATGGTGGTGGAGGCCGGTGGTGATGAGTTGAGAGTGGAGTTGGAGAAGGTGGCGAGAGGAGAGGTGATTTTGGGGTATTTGGTGGAGGAATTGGGCTAATCTTTGGATTCGCATGGGGTATCAATCAAAGAGGCTTCGCTCCTTTTTCTTTTCATTACTTCTTACATACTATGGAGAGACAAAAGTGTGATTTTGTTTAAATACCAATTCGGGTATTGACCTGAAAAATGAAAGAGAATGAAAATATACTCATATAGCATGTTAGATGAATTGAAATCTAAAATATATCGACTTGTCTTGTCTTGATCGTTCGATCCCTCACAAATGACCACATTGTGAAGTACCATGCTTTGAGTCGACCTACTTTGGATTCAATTGTAAAGATTTTCGAACTCCAATCTACGGAGCCCATCCACACATGCCATAATATAATTGTTAAATAAAGAGTTTACAAGACAATGCTTAATATTTATTTGTTGTGTATGTAGGTTTTGCTGTCACTAAATTGTGAGCAAATGAACTAAAATACTAACAATTTTGGGTTACAAAGTAAACATTTTAAGATTTTTTAAGACACTAAGCATAGTTACAATATCGATCGGATTTTCCATGTCCAAAAGACCCTTTTGAGGCTAAGCGCACAATCTGATTTTTTATACACTTGGATGATACACATAGAGTGACATGTTTGTATGGGTGGGTGTTTAGCATTTTTTGAGAGTGGGAAGCAAATTTTGAGATATTACATAATAATTGAGAAGTGATATTGAAATCATTCCTTGGNGTGTTTAGCATTTTTTGAGAGTGGGAAGCAAATTTTGAGATATTACATAATAATTGAGAAGTGATATTGAAATCATTCCTTGGGATTAGAAGTTAATTCTTCGATTGGACCCGGGAGTTAAGATTATATGTTCAATGTTAGTAAAGGTTGAACCCCAACCTTGAGAGCTCTCACCGCTCCGCCCCTAGAGTTTTGCGAGGGAGGTAAATCGCGGGGTGTGTCCCAAGAGTCCAGGGAACAAGAACTGTTTGTACAACGCGTCTACAAGGAGTCCAATTCCATATCTCAGGAATTGAACCTCCACACTACGGTTGCCAACAAGACGTGATAGTTAGTAGCTACGCTCGATAGTTGTGTGTGCAGCATTTTTCTTTTTCTTCTTATTTGTGAAGTTGTAGTGAACTCAGCAAGGGCCGAAAGGTTAGAGGAGAGAATCCTATAATTAGCTCACCATTTTCCCTTACCAATCATCATTTACAATCATACAAAAAGATTAGACATTAATAACATGTTAGGTCTGTAATACTACCGGATAGGGCTGAAAACTAGATTGGAACTGCTTTTCATTCTTTAGTACACGTTTGATTCCCATTTTTTCAAGAATCCATTTTTTCAAAATTCATTTTCAACAATACATTCTTCTATAAAATAATTGTACACGTATTTCAAAAATATTTCCTTACTTTCTAACCACACATTCTCCAAAAAATCATTACTCCATAATGCATTTTATCCCAAAAATGGAAATCAAACAGGAGCTAATTCTATCTATTCTTGCCGATCCTCAATGCCAAACATGGCATGAGGTTGCGTGCACAATAATGGATAGCACTTGCCATATTGTTGAAATGAATAATGCTCTTCAAACAGGAGCTTCTAATAGGGATGAGGTAATCGGTGGGGTGGTAGCACTTGATATTTTTTTCTCCAAACAGTCCAATCATGAATTGACACGTGTTCGTTATATGTTGTTGAACCTATCACAGTAGCCAATTTGTTGTTGAAATAGTCTTTTTAAGAAATAAGTTAGCTTGGAAATTGGTGCTCTCTAACCCCAAATTGTAAGGCAGCTCGTGGTACAAAAGTTGACCTCAGAGGTGTTTTTAGCTTGTACAAGGACAAGTTTTCTCGCAATTTATTTAATGCAGTCAAATGCTCTTCCTTCGGGGTTGCATTTAGATTGCAGATTCAGGCATCAACGATAATTTCTCTATGGCAAATATGTACATTTCAAATGCATAATCCCTAATTCCTTCCTCATTTCAAATATATCTTCTGTCTTACTAAAACGAAAATATCCATATTTGTGCAAGTGAAGTAAATATCATTGATCAGTCATAAAATTACAAACTTGATATTTCTATTGCTAAAACTCGAAGTTTGCAGGTGCAATGCAGAAGACATCCTGTTAGAGATCATACCGCTGTTCTTAACAAAGTGAAGAGAATTGCATCGAGTGTGAGGTGGAAGATGAAAATGGTGGATCACGAGGAAGGTCCACGGGTTGCTCGTAAGGTATTATTTGCAGTTGAACGATACTGTGAAAACAGCACCACACCCGCAGGATAAGTGGCACGGACTCGAAAAATACAAGCTACCATTTTTTTTTTACTTAGGTACAATATATTTTTTACATTTTCCGCCAAGCTGCAAAGTTTTAGGAGTATTCTTCATTCTTTTGTTCGTTCTTTCTTTTTAGTCTTAATCTGATGGCATCAAGAGTTGTGTTGAGGGCTCACCTTTGGTTTAACGTTAGGATTTTTTTTTTTAATTTTTATTTTATTTCCTCTCTTGGTTAGGCTTTGCTATGCCATACCATGTAAATTTGTAGGTAGTATTTATACAAATTTTTTATTCAAGATTGAAACCAGTTCTTCCTGACTTGGAAATTTGAAACATTTTTATCAATTGCTAAATGCTCAAACATTGAATCTTGGGGAAGGAAAGAAACTTTACCAGGATCTTGAAATTAGTCATATAGATTAAAGAACAAGAGTTACCGCTCCAAAATTTTACTATGTATCGATTATATTTATGAGTTATTCTTGAAAATTTGTTTGTAGAATGAAATAATTTGTACTCTTTTGATTTTCGATCTTCCAAATCATTCCCGAGATTTGATACTCTGTTATTTTTCCTGATTGTTAAAAAACAATTTCTTAAATTTTTGGTTTAGAATGAAAGGGTAAGTTTATTTTTTATACTCTACGTTGGACAAAGCATAGATTTTATGAGGAAAAAATATTATTTAGTGCTGTGCATCTGAATAGTTACATGCTTGATCGAGCGCATACCTAGTCATTGTTCTTCTAACATGATTTGGAAATATGTGTAGCATTTTATTTTCATTTTTAATTGGGAAATTATGGAAAATATGGAAAAAAAAAAATGCTTGCTTAAAAAAAGAAATGAAAATAATGAATAAGATGAAGTGATATTATTATGCAGCATAGCTCATGCTACCTACCAATCTCCACGAAGCACGTATTTAGCAGAGTATTTGGAATTTATAAACCGTTAAATTTTATTGGGATATTGACTTTGTACAGCATGTTTGGCTAAACTTAAAATTTACTTAAATATTTGTTTATAACATTTTTGGACGTCTAATCTTTTTTTACTCGTACCGATTAAGTCCTTGTTTGAGCCCCATTCTCGTCAAAGAATTCATTTTTGAAAAGTGTATTAATGGAAAATGTGTTGTTGAAAAATAAAAAAAGATTTTTAAATTTACGTGTAATATTATTTTAATAAAAAATATGTGATTGAAATGAGGTCAAATCGCTATTTAAAAATATATTTTGATGAAAATAATAGGAATCAAACAAGAGCTTAGTGTTATTACTTCCAACATAAGTGACATACTAGTTTTGACCCACAAAAGATATCTGTTGGTCCTCAATAGATCATTTAACACAAAAAAATATCTAAAGTAAATTTGCATAAAATTAAAGAAATCGAATACAAGAATTTTTCGCCAACTAATAGGTCCGGATGTTCAACTGCTCTAAATGCTAGTCATGTGTTGAACATCTACAAAGTAAAATCTACATCAAATCACTAAAATCTAGCCAAGAATCGATCAATACAAATTTCTTCAAGTTTTTCTCGCCTCAAAATAAACAAGTTTACCGTAATAAACCTTTCACTCAATCTATCAATACACACTCAGTACATTATAAAATCCACTAAAGATTTTACAAAAGAATGAAGATGAATCAGATAGAAACTGATGTGGTACATCACAACTACTAGTTTCTTACTACAATTACGTTTGCTATGAGTTTGTCTTTCAATTATGTTTATCTATTTAGTTGTGAAAGGACTTTTATATTTGATTAGGATTATAATTTTCATTAGTTTCAATTACCTAATACTATTATAAGTATGGAATAACTTGCCTATAAATATAGGGGTAATGCACACTTCATTTCTTATTTCAATTCTTATTATAATAATTTCATAACACTTCATCACCAAAATTTGTATCAAAGCAAGGAAATTGCTTTAATCTGATATGATGTTTCTAGTGGCAGATGAATCACCGACAGACTAGAACAATGAATCGAGGGGATGCACGAGACCTTCACAACATCATGCAGATACTGACTGCTTTGAGTCTTGAAAGGAATCGCGAGCCCATGGAGAAGCAAGCTAACAAGAATTAACTGCTATGAATCTTAGTTGTTCCAACAAACATAAAACACGACAACATGTTGCTAGAGAATTTCCTCGAGTGCCAGCCAAGTTCTGGAAAACACAAGTTATCAGGGCTTCTTTTCTTCAACAAAACTTGAAGACGAGTTTTTTTTTTCAAGTGGGAGAGAATGATGTAGACAATCCTACTATAATTAGAACAAAAGTTAGATAATTATAATAAGATGTTTAGTTGTAATAGGTTTTATCTTTTTATTTTGATATTTTATTTAGAATATGATTTCTTTTCTTTATTGATTAGGATTTGATTTCTAATTTTTATTTTTTTTAGATCAGGATTGATTTTAGTTACCTTATATTGGTTTCCTAGTAGTAGAAGTAGAGAATAATTTTACCTATAAATACAAAGACATTATACATTTTTTAACATCAATAAATTATTATTCAATATATACATGACATGATTGTTTAAATATCATTTTTATTTATTTTATAATTCTTATTACATGAATTTTTTTATCGCTTCAACACAAAAATTGGTATCAGAGAGTTGATAACACAGACTCTGGAGATGAAAGAGGTACTAACCTAGATGCAAGACATCCTAGGATTGCAGTAAGGAGAAGACTACCCCTTATAGCCTAGTCCCATGTCGACCCAGGAAGGGGGAAAA